GGAGGGAGGAGGAGGAGGAGGAGGGACCAGCGCTTTTGTATTTAAAATAAATAAAATAAATAACTAAGGGAGGCGCGCATCGCAGTGGGCTCCTTCCCTCGCAGCCGCGCGCTCCCCCCCCATCTCCCTCCCCCCGATGCTCCCCGATGCGGTTGCAGCGCCGGGGAGGCGGAGGAGGAGGAGGAGGAGGAGGAAGGCGCGCTAGGGGCGCGGGGGGAGCGGTGCCAGGCTGCGCGCGGGCGGCGAGCGGCGGGGCCGCGAGCGCGCAGCGAGCCCCGGCTCCGCGGTGAGTGGCGCCTTCGGGGGCTGCGGGGAGGCGCGCGCTTGCGGAGGCCGCTTTGGGTTCATTTTGTTGGGATTCTCCTTCTTTTCCGTCGGGGTGGCGCTCGGCGGGGCGCTGCGCGGCGCCCTCCGCGCCCGCGGGGACCGTCCCCGCCCGCGACTCGCCCCGGCCAAGTCGCTCCGGACTTTTTATTTTCCTGCCCCTTCCTCTCGCCCGGCTCCATCTGCGACCTCTCTTTCCTCAGCCCGTCGCCATTTCTGGAGCAGGCTTTTTTCTATATATAAATATATATATATTATTATTATTACTATTTATTTTTGTGTTTTTCCCCCCGGGTTTGGGGAGCAGCGGTTCCGCGGGGGCTGCGCGCGGCGCGCAGGGTGCCCGCTCCCCTCCGCCCTCATTAATATGATGATGATAGTTCTTTTTTTTTTTTCCTCCCTTTTTTTCCCTTCTCTTTTGGAGCTGCCTTTGATCCCTCCGCGGGCGCGGGATGCCCCGCAGCGAGGTGTCCCCGCTGCCCTGCGCGCAGCGCTGCGCGAGGTGGGCGGACACGCTCCAAAGCCCCCCATTTSTACCCCCGCGGCGCCCCCGATTCTACCGGATTTCACCCCAAAAACAGCCAGGCGTGGGGGGCGGCCCGGCCGCGACCTGCGGGCGCCTCCGCGGCCGCGCAGCCCAAGCGGGAGGCGGGTGCGGGGGGGAAGCCGGCGGGTCCCCTCGCGTGGGCTCCGCGCGTGGGCCCCGCGGGAGCCGCGCGCCTCCCCCGCGCCTCGCCTCCCTCCCCGCAAGAGTTGCGCGGCCTGTTTACTTTCCGCCTTTGATGTCGGGAGGATCTGGTTTTGATTAGATCAATACTCCTTTTTTTTTTTTTCCCCTCTTTTTTCCCCTCCCTCCCGCTCTCCTTTCATCCCCCCCTCGCAGAGAGGAGGCTCCCAGGGTCCCCTGCTGACTCGCCGCCTCCGCGGCCGCCTCGAGCGCGGGCGCGCGCGGCCGCCCCGCAGCCATGAGCAGCGCCGCGGTGCTCGCGCCGCTGCCCGAC